TTTGCAATTTAACATTTTGTTTTATTTATTTACTGATTCTTAGACTTAATTTAAATTGTATATACTTCCCTGGAAATGAGTCATATTAATATCTGTTTTATAAACTAATGTAATATATACCTAATATGAACTAGTTTTAATGAATAGGTGATGGATTGTTTAGTAAAATTGTTATATCGCTATTAAAAAAAACATTTTTATTTCCTTTATTTTATTCGGAAGTTGGACCATCTCATAAAAAATAGGAACTTTTAATATTAAAGTGCATTATTCCCTCTGCACAAATGAGATATGGAAAGGGCGAAGCTATAAGTTCTTCTATGTAACTGGAACTGATTGTTAGTATTTGGTCTCAAAATGAGGGAAAACGCGAAATTGAACCCAAACATTGGAAAAATACATTAAGCGAACGACAGTGCCAAAATTTCGGAAAAGAAAACAAGGATCAGTATCCATTATATGGCTAAACGAATATATAGTAGACAAATGAACAGAATATTTCAAGATTCTGCTAAATGGGGGTAAAAATGCTTGATCAGTTTGGATGATATTAAGCAGGTTTATTATGGTGAAGACCATTTCATCAGCAAGAAAGATTTGTTCTAGGCAATTGGCAAGTCAGCTGGTCTGTGAAAGATTAATGTGAAATAGTTAGTTATTTCGAATAAAAAAAAAAATAAAGATACTTTAGAGGAAGCCAATATTGAAAATTAGCCATTTAAACCCTGATAGAGAACATAAATGAGAATAAAATCTACGTTAAATTTAAAACTGCTTAATAAAACCACATACACAAACACAGACCATTTTGCGGAACTTGGTTATTTAGACTCAGGAGACCTCAAAACATGTATTTCCGTTGAAAACTTTGACTCGAAAATTTTCACGATCGCAATACTAACTCTTATATTACTACATATTGCATATGATAAGCAAATGGAAGTAAAATACACAGCGAGGTTATAATTGCCAAATTCAGCTTTAGGACAAGAAACTTCCCCACAACACACACACACACAAATATTTTTTGAATATATTTTTTATTTTTAAAAAATGAAGGTTCCTAAACAAAAAAATGATATTTATAAAAATTGAATGTCGATTTATAAGCCAGTGACTAATACAAATAATATAACCATATTCTACTTGTAAGAAAAAATAATTTTAGAAGTAATATTGTGCAATATCTGAAACCAGCACGTTCCAGTAAATCGTGTTTAATTTTAATTAACGCAAGAAAAAAAAATTAATGATAAGAGAATCCGACTGAGGAAAAATAGGTCAGAGCTCCTAACAAACACTGAAAAAGAAAAAAAAATCTAAGGTCGTGGTCTTTAATCGCGAAAATATTTTATTTACGTTTTAAAAACCGCTTCGAGACAATTCTCTTGATGCCTTTCCGCATAATTACCGCCTCGGGAATTCAGGTTTAGTTTTTTATTTTTAACGTTTAGCGTTTCTCTGCTCGTTTATGTAATTCTCATTTCCTTTTATATAAAAAAGAAAACTTGAATAACGAAGAATATACTTGAAAATATAATTATCATGGATATTTCCTCACAGAAATATTAAGCGAATTTCTCTCCATTTAAACTAAATGCAATTTTAATTTTAAAATTGTGCTACTGTTAGTGCAAAAATTCATGTTTTAAAATGATAGTTTCCCAATGATATTATTATAATTTGATGTATATAATTTTTTTTACAATTTATTTCTTCATATATTAACAGTTATTATTTTTTTTTAAATTTTTATATTCCATCACTACAATGCTTTGCCTATAAAATTGATTTTGCGTTCCTTTCTAATTTGATTTAGTGATTATTATGCTATTGTTTTAGCTCCAATATTGTAGAATTGAACCCCTATTAAACTGTTAACATATCCTGAGAGCTAATATACTTAATTGATTACTACTATTTTGTTATTATTTATTGTTATAGGTCTTTTGGTCAGATTTGTTGTTAATTTATATGAACAATAATGTTATTCTTAAGGGACCTATTCCTAGAATAAAGATGATTTTCTATTTCTATTTCTATGATTTCCCTCTGATGTTTCCAAAGTATGAGATTGCAGATTACACAAGTCATCTTCAGCTCAAAAATAAATAAAAATAGCAATTTTTACATACCGTCTTTTGCACTAACAGTAGCGATTATAAAAACTATAAAATTATATTAAAAATAATTATAATGACTATAAAAAATCTGGTGCGATGTGGATCACAAAACTTTCACATTCCCTCCTACTTAAACAATAATATAATAAATAATTGGTCCCTCAAAATGATTTTTAAAATCAATATAGTGATAATTCTTAAAGCCAAGGTTTGACTACTTGACTCTCTACAGGACACAAACTTGGATATTGACAAGAAAACTTTAACTCAGGTTGAACGTTATGCAGATGAAATTTCTAAGGAGTTTAATGTCAATCAAGAAGAGAGAAAAAACAAGAAATAAGGAAAGTGTATATTAAAAGCTTAAAGGCTGAACAAATGGCGAGGTTGAAGGATGAAAAATGGTCCAAGGCATATACCGAGTGGATCCCAAGAGAGAACAGCAGGAAAAGAAGCCGGTTGCATGAGATGGAGGGAAGAAATGACACAAGATGTAGGCGATAAGTAAATTTAATACTTGTGGCTAAGGATAGATACAGATGAAAACAAGTTCAATATATAACCGAGTGCTTTCAAGACTGTTGTGTTTTCTTTATGTTTTGTTTTTCTTTCTTATCCCTTATATTGTTATTTAAAAAAAAGATCATATCTGTTTTTTAAACATTAAAAAAAAGGCTTGTAATAATTTAAACATTTTTTTCTGCACTGTAGCCAACTCCATTAAAATTCCTCCTTAAGGAGAGGCTTTTGTCAATAATTGAGGTCAATAAAGCTTATATTATTATTTTTTTTCTATTCTCGGCTTTATGCCGTATAAATCCACTGACCTGGACCGAGGTCAAGGGTACAGTTTATTGACTATTTAATTTGAAATATTAAATATTTTTCGAACAATGCTATCGGTTCTCAGCATTACCGCTTTCTGGATTTCCTGATGTTCCCAGCTTAATCCATGTACACTCATTGATTTTAGAGTATCTTCAGGAATCAGGCCATTGCTGGATACGATAATGGGTAGTACTTTTACTTCCAGCAGCCGGTATAACTGCCTTAATTCCTCACAAAGCTCTTGATACTTCCGATTTTTTTTAACTTAATGTTTTATTATAAATAATACCAGTTGACTAATAGATTAATCAGAAGGATCGAATATGTAGCAGTTCATTATTTTATCATATCTGTTATTACCGTATCGTATTATTTTTTTTTTCTGTTGGCTTCACAAACCATGTAGATCTTTTAATAAGCCTGCCCCATCTCTGTCTGTCTTGGGCATACCGTATCATTAATCAATATTTTTTAACGATATTTTAAAAGAAATTTAAAGTTTTTTTAACTGCAAATTGTAGAAACCGATGCTTAAATCATCTATGATTATTGCATAAAATATATATTTTTTTAAAGGAAGGAGATGGTCCGGGGTGGCGGTCATAAATAGGTTAAATAGTGGTAAAACTATTTCATTAAAAGCCAACGTTTCGACCCGACTTTGCAGGTCTTTTTCAGGGCTAGAACGGACAAGATACAAAAAGATAGAGAATTGTGGAAGTTACATAATATTTAGATAAAAAATGATAAACAATATTAATAAGCTTATTAAAATTATAAACTGTAAATACATTAAAACATAATTAGAGTAAGCTAAGTAACAATATAATAAACTGAAGTAAATAGATGCTAACAATTGTTGTAGTGTAATATATAATAAATGCAAATGTTAATATACTTCTACAGATCTACAGGCGAAATTGAAAGAAAAGGAAAAATGATATAATATGAAATAATAGACATAAAGGAATGTGTCTTTTCTTTCTTCACATTCGAAACGTTGGCTTTTAATATAATAGTTTTACCACTATTATGACTATCACCCTGGACCACCTCATTCCTTTATAATGCAACGGTCAACTATTAAATATTAAATATATTTTTTTACAACTAATACTAATGTATGAATAAAATTGAATTTCATAGCTTTCTTAATATGTTCAGATAAGACTGAAATAATTAGACATTACAAAAATTTTGTATGCAATTTTGTATAAATAAATACAAATTTATGACGAAAGGTAAACAAGATTTGTACAGATTTATTTATATTCTTCAGTTTGTGATGTGATTTAAAAGATCGGAACGTAATAAATGGGTGCATTATAAGAAACACTGATAAGAAACACGTATCTCCGGCTTATGTGAGTATGAATTAAGAATTGAAAATCTCTGATCTTAAATTTAATTTTTTTTATTTATCTATTTCCTTAATCAATATTTAATAGTTGACCGTTGCATTATAAAGGAAGGAGATGGTCCGGGGTTGCGGTCATAAATTGGCTAAATAGTGGTAAAACTATTTTATTGAATGCCGAATTCTTTTCTTTCTCCACATTCTTTTATGTCTATTATTTCATATTATGTCCTTTTTCCTTTTCTTTCAATCTCTCCTGCAGATTTTGTAGAAGTATATTCACATTTTCATTTATTATATATTACACTTCAACAATTGTGCTTACTTTGTTCATATTTTATTGTACTTACTGTTTATAATTTTAATCAGCTTATTCACATTGTTTATAAATTATGTCTAAATATTATGTAACTAGCACAATTCTCTATCTTTTTGTATCTTGTCCGTTCTAGCCCTGATGAAGACCTGCAAAGTCGGGTCGAAACGTCGGCTTTCAATAAAATAGTTTTACCACTATTTATCCTATTTATGACCGCAACCCCGGACCATCTCCTTCCTTTATTTCCTTAATAATATTTTCACCATTAGATTAGTATGTAGTTAAGTATCGTATAAATTTAGCAAACAGAGATACTTATACAGGAGCTACTGGTTTAGATGACTCACTAAGAAACAATCAGTTCTGGTAATTACAGAGACCAGGCTGATCCTTTATATACCAGCAAGGACGTGATTTCGCCAGTCTCCATCTAGCGCCCAGACATGAAGCTATACGTAATCTTCCTGACGTTACTAGCCCTTCTTTCAGCCATGTCGGCAGCCCATCCTACACAGCCTCCACCAGGTAATTTATGTCACATGAAAATATTTAAAAAAATATGATATGCAAATATAACCAAAAACGAGACGTCCCACACCATCCGAGGTTCAGGTTTGATTCCTAATTGTGTCAGTTCATAAATATTTGTGGCGAACCCGACAAAATAAATCTTGATACACCCACTCAGGTTAGGTCAGAGCACTAACCTATAAGAATTCATCTCATTTTGGGATAGGATAAACTGGACAACATAAAAGACCTATTTCTCTAAAAATATCATTAAGTGTGTTCAAAGATAATTTTTAAAAAGTATAAATATAAATAGTAACAATAGATAAGTTTAGTTAAAAAGTTGTTCAGTTCGTATACATCTTCACAATTAACCCAATTTCGTTCGATTCCCTTAGTTGTGATAAAATGCAATTCAATAAAGATATTTTTACTTTCACTTGTATATGAAATATATAGTAAGGAAAGTATTGTGTCGTGAAATTTTCGAATCTTAGTTTTCAACGGAAATACATATTTTGAGGTCCTTGAGTCTAATAACCAGTCCCGTCTGTGTTTGTGTGTGTGTGTGTTAAAAAAGTCTATCTCAAAAAAGTCCTACGAAAGTGAAATTGCATATTTAACGTTTTTATATGCTAGGGATGTTACAGCAACTTTTTCGTCAAAACTATATATATCATGGCCTAAACACATGTTTACAATTTTCTCGAAAACGGCCCTAACGATTTTGATTAAATTCATTAAATCAGAGTAAAATTAAGCAGTTTTAAATAAAATGTAGTTTTTATTCTGATTGATGTTCTCTACAGGCTTAATGGCTAATTTTCAATATCAGCTTCTCTAAAGTACTTATTTTTTTTATTTGAAACAATTGACCATTTCACATTAATTCTATATAAAAGATAGTTAAATAAATATGAAGATTTGATAATAACTAAAGGAGAATCGTAACGGAATAGTTGTAATTGGGAACAAGGAATACGAGCTCATCGAGCTCGCCCGAAAGATTAGAACACTTCCATACTTAAATGAGCTTAATATATCTGATAATATTATAAAATATGGTTTTCATAAATGCTATTGGTATTATTTAATATTTAATTGTATAGATTACGGATATAAATATTAAAATTTGTATATATTACGGTATTTATACCAATAAAAATACCACAATGAAATATAAATAAATATAGCTCTATAATTTTACTTTCCTTCCCTTTGTCTGAAAATACTTATTTCTGCTAAGAAGAGGATGGTAAGTGAAAGTTGAGTAACGCACCGCACCAGATGATTTAAATGATCCTGTATGCATAATAAAAGTAAGTTTTACGTATTATTATTTACGAAAGATCACAAGCGTGAGTGATCACATATTTCAAATGAGTTAATTTTTTCGTATTTGGTGTAGTGCGAAACTGTTATCATTTTTGTTGAGATAACACAGGTAGATATGTCAAATAAAATTAAAAAAAAAATGTTTTCTTTACTCCTACGAGAAATAAATCACTTTAATTTATTATACATAAAATTAGTTAACTAAAACCGCTCAAATATTCGTGACATACAGTACTCATATCTGAAATTTCTTCTTTAACCAATCAGAAAAAATATTAATTAAATATATAAACGAAATGGTAATTTAATTACTCTCTTAAAATTAAATATTATATTACAGTAAATTTAAAATTTGTGAAATAGCTTTTGTATGATGATTTGATGGCTTTCTCTACAAAAGATATTTCTTATCATGAGAATATTATTATCCTATAAAAAGAAATAATTTTTTTACGTTTGATATCTGGCAGAATGGTAAAACGATCCTCTGAATTTTTATAACTCATATTCTTTTAAGGTCATATTGATAAGCGAATAACCCTTTTATTGACAACAAATGTGATATTTATTTTTATATGATTTTTGTATATATATTTATATTTTTTTATTTCAAAATGTTTGCATTTTTTTTATAAGATCATATATTTTCAAATACTACCTGATTCGTTGATAAAAAATCTTAATCTAATTGAATTATTGAAATAATTTATCTTGTTATGATAAATTTAGAATGATATGTACAAATCTAACTAACTTTACTAGAAATATATTCCGTGCAAATAATACTGAATCTGCAATTACTGTTCCTGCAGAAATAACAAGTATTTAACTTGCGTAACTTAGTACTTAAAAGTTAGTCTAAGTAAGTAATGTAAGTTAAATGGTTACTCTAACTATTTAAGTAAAACAGTTATTATAACTATTTAAGTTGAATAGTCGTTTCACGGATAATTTTACTTAAATTTACGAAGGATTAGGAATCTTCTTAGGATATCTACATTCTATCATATTCCTAAAAACCGTTATGTATTGTCAGCACCTCCTAATAACTTTATTCAAACGGATTTGTTCCTTATCCGTCAAACAACCTCGTCCAACTCGGAAATGAGTGAGCAATTAACTCACTAATGAGAAGATCCAATCACTCAGATCTAATCAGAGATCCTGAGAATCAGATCGCTTCTGGATTTAGACTACGATTTTAGCGCCTGGAACAGCCCCACAACGTCCGTCATGCCCATTTCCTAAAAACTTTCAAAACCTCCTTTTTCCGACACCTAACTCACTCCTGTCTGACGCTGTATAAGTTTTCTTTTCTTCTTCTTTTCTCGACTTTCACTTTCTTCTTCTGCTTATTTTTTTTTTCTTTTCAACCATCTTATTCCATTTAGTAATTGATTATATTCCCTTTCCATTTCAAAATGTGTATTATCCATTATGTAACGGGCAAGATATTTTGTATTCCTTTTATTTCCATTTAAGTTTAATTGGAACATATTGGCTTATATATTAATTTACATATCCTTTTGTTTTGTTTTTTTTATTGAGAATATTGATTTTTACATAATAGAGTATAAAAGAAATTTTACATGATATTAATGTTATTAAATTTCAGGAGAATAAAATCCTACAAGTCTTCAAGTCCAGTATGCTCAATTGTTAGTTCCGAGTCGTGAAGTATTAAAAAAATTGAAAAAAATAACATTTTTATTAGGGCTAAGATATGTGAATTGTAAAAATAGCATTATGGAACGATTACTTAAATAAATAAAACAAACAATGAGCGACATCTATGTTTTGTTATTCGAATGAACTATTTAAGTTTCAATTGGCTCTTCTCAAAGATATCAAAAATATATATGTCAATATTTTAACTTAGCATAGATTATTCGTAATTTTATTTTAGAAGCAAAGAATTTAGTAGCATATATTTTGAATATGAAAACTCGTAATTTTATTTTTGATACAATATTTTTTTTTTTTTTTGGCTGTAAATAATTTATTTGTACGTCTGAACTATATCAACAATCAACTATGTCCTAACTTTTTTTAGTTGTTGTTTTCTTAATCAGTTTCTGTTTTTTTTTTATTAAAATATAATTGCTACTAATTATTTTAAAATTTAACTAAATTTCAACGATATTTGTACATTTTCTAAGAAATTAATGACAAATGAAAATGTCATTGTCTTTTTTTTTATTATTATTCTAATGAATAATAATGTTCTTTTTTACCCGAAGATGGTGTAATGGTGTTGAACTAACTATACTGACACATTATCATATAAGTTATAGTTAATCTTATTATTTAAAAAAAATATATATATTTTTTATTTTAAGGCTTTAACCACTTTTGTCATTATTGCCTTATTTTCATTGAGAATTAGATTGTATTTTCAAGTTTAGAACATTTCTGAAAAGAAAATGATTTATCAATTTCATTCGTATCATCCTGTAAAATGAACTGTATATCGTTTGTCAAGTCACAAGATAGTCCAAATGTTTCCTAAAATGTGTTTCATAGTCAGAGGAGTCCCACAGGTGTGGAAATCTTATCATTGAATCAGGTACGTAACGATTTTTTAGCGAACGAACTGTTATTGTTTTGAAACAATGGGAGCTTGAAATAAAAAAAAAAATTATATTTTAAGTACTATCTTTTTTCTTTCAGTTTCACGACAAATCATTTGTTCGTTCAAGATAATATGTATTCAATATAAATTGGCAATGATTAAAAATATTATAACATTAAATTTAACAAATTATTAAATAAAAAAACTTACAAAAAAAAAAATATTCAAAGGACAGAATTTGCAAATACTGGTGCAGAGGTTCCTTTTAGCCAAACCTCTGACGTATACCTAGAGATTGCCGCCAACTACTTATCAGAATGGGAGAGTCTAGATTCATTTCCAGGTGCCGCCAAGAAATAAATATTAACCGACACAACGATATTTTGTTTATATTAAACCTAAGTATATGTAGTTCTGACACGGTTATGTTTAGGCCACACACGCCTGACCCACGGTTACCTGATGGCCCGCGAATCTTAAACCGAATGCCAGATCTGCGAGTGTCCGCTGACAGTAAAGCGTTTGCTAACTGAATGAAGAGCTAATGAGACGGAAAGAGCACTTTTCGATATCCCTAATAATACTTATTCTACTTTGATTGACAATGTGCTGATGATCGATAGGCTTTTTGAGTTCCTAAACAGCCAAAAATTTATTCCAAAATTTAGAATTTTTACCAATCGCACAAGAGAATAATGACCCTAAATAGTTGACAACTTTGTAACTAATTAAAAAAAAAAAACTTAAGTATTAAAAGTATAATCCTTACAAAAAGTGAACTAAAACGACCGGCAAAATTTATTCTTGAAAAAATAAATCAATATGTCTATTAAATAACACATTTCTATTTTTTTAATCTTATTCTTAATTTTCTATTCATCTGAGAATCTTACAACAAAAGTATTATTGTTTCGCAGAATGTAGATGGTGAATCTAAGGAACGTTTTCTGTGATATATTTAAATATATATCTCATATAACAGTTCTTCTTACTATTTATATCGATTTAATTTTAAATGTTTATTTTTGTTTCAGGAAAAAAGGTTAAACCCATCTGCAGTCCGTGCCCGCCCGATGCGAAATGCCTCTGCTATTGAAAACTCTTCTGATTCTCTTAATCTCTACGAAACAAGTACAATATTCAAAAAAGAAGATTTTTGAACTTATATAAAAATGTGAAACCGCCCGAACTTGAAATAAAAACAGTCTAAAATTAGTATAGTAATCAGAGAGAACGTAAAAAATAGTTTTAATTAACTATAAAATATCTTTGTTAATAATTATTGCAGTATTTCCTTCACTGCCACATTAGTATTTAAAACACTTTCTACCTTTAAATCCCGCCTGTTCAATCATTTCTTATCCATCCAGTTCCCATGAAATTGTAAACAGATACTAATGTAAATATGTATATAAATTATTAGCTCGTTCTTCATTATTTTTGCTTCATCCTTTTTTTTTTTTTTATTTTTTTTTTTTATTATTAACTGATCAAAATTAGAAAGTAACTTATAATTTTTTAATTTTATTCTTATGACTGTTCAATTACTCTGCATCTTTATTTATGTATCTCTGAGGCTCCTTAGGCCATATTTATGTCTTTCTGTATTGTTCTAAAGGGACTCATCCCAGAATAAACAAAATATTATTTTTATTATTATTATAATGAATGTCAGTTACTCAAATTTGGCAGCACAGTTAAATGATGCTTAGTTACTGTATGGCATTGTTTCATAAACTGCCTTTCTTATTACATTTTCCGCATTCACGATAAATGTTTATTAAGAGAGGGGGTGGAGTGGCCGAGTGGGCTAACTCGTTTGGACAGTAGTATTGTCCAAAATTGGTCTTGGTCTTGCAGTTTGCACTCTGCAAGACGAATACCAGGACCGTCTAACTGTTGTAAGACTAAGACCAAGACTGGTAAAAAAAATAGATTTTTCGAATAAAACTTAAGACAAAATAATTACTAATATTTGACAATTTTAATTACTATATGTAAAGAATTGGTACAACCAATATGCTTTTGCATTTCACTCTTATAATTTTTCATTCGGATTTAGTTAGGTTTCTCCTATCTAAAAAATTAAAGTAATATCAGTATAGTAATAAGCTAATAGGTAACTGCTAGAATATTGCGACACTCTTGCGCAAGACCAAGACTCGTCTTGGTTGGGCAACACGAGTGGACAACATCGCGCGTCGACTGGCAACCTGACCGAAGTTAGATGGAAAAATATTACAAGTTTAAATCTCTGTACCCAGTAAGAATTTTAACTCTGCATGATTCGCCCACCCTCTCCTCCGGACCAGGAAAAAAGTCCAAAAGGCAAGGAAAGAGAGAAAAAAATCTAATATTCTTGAGTCTAATGACTTCGATTCGATTCCAGTCTGGGAAGGTTAAAATTTATTTTGTGGCGAACCCACAGAATGAATCTCGATCTTTCCACTCTGTTTAGAATAGGGTGACCAATTATGAGGACGCAATCAGTTTTTTAAGATTTTTATTTGCCGACCTTTCAACCCAAGCATATGGGTCACTATCTTGGCATATTACTAGCACTGAAGGTATTCAAGTACTGAAAGTAGTACGTCGGCGAATAAAAATTTTAAAAAAATTTACTGGGTGCAGAGTAAGTAGAGGGAAATGTTTATAAGAGTAGTAGCAACCCTCAAGAGGTACAAAAAAGTTCATATAAAGAACGGGACAATTTTCAGCAGGAAAATAGGAAATCCAAGTTTTGCGTATTTTTAACTGTCATGTCTTATGTTGAACAGGAAGAGATTCCTAAGGACAATTGCTTGCTACTGCAAACTAGAAAAAAAATTACTTTAAACACAAATAGAGTTTGTCATTGTTAAAACCAATTAAAGATGATTTTTGAGCCGCTCAACTACGCTAAGTTCTGTTTTGAAATATAACATAAATTATATGCGATTTTTATTTATCATCATTCAGCTATTTTACAGATACCTCACTTTCACGATAAATTGTATTATTTTTGCTGGAAACACGAATAATTTTCAGTGACAGGTTAAAAAAAAACACACAATTTTCTTTGGCGCAAATTGAGGTGAATCTAAAGTTTTTTTCCCCCTAGTAAACCGCAACCTAATTGATATGGACACAGAACATATCAAAGGAGGAAATTTTTCTGAAAGTAGGATATCTGTAGAGATACAAAGCTTTTTTGTTTTAATAAAAGAGTTTGTATAAACATATACAAGAGATTTTAAGGTAGTTCGGATTTAGAACAAGGGAAAGTAGACAAAAATAGATTCTTGTAAATATTCTAAAAGCGTTTTGGAAGACAATAGCTATTTTATTAGTGTGAGCTAAAACGATATTTAACAATTCTTCGGAAATCACATTTCTTCTTATCGGTTTTTATATTTGTTTCTAATTGCTGGAAAAGAAACTGGAGTGATACTTCAAGGAAGGATTATAAATATACATGGACAATAATAATTCTATAATGATTATATTTAAAAAAAATTATGCATATCAAAGAAAAAATTTTGCTTGATGTATGAAGAAGGAAGAGGTTTTAAAACTAATTTGACTTTATCAATCCCCACAAAAACTTTCAGGTATTTAGGGTCCTGAAGATTAAATGAAATCACACAATTCCAACCTCCATAAAGAAACTATCATTGAAATTTTTAGTTTTTATTCTAAGATAACTATATCTCTCAGTTCTTAATAGCCGAACTCTGGGGGATTATTCTTGACAAAATTACCACAAAAAATTTTTAATTTATTATTTATTTATTTATTGAATAATATAAAATTCTCTCTTTTGGACATTTGTTATAGGGAGGTAAGATCACATTCACACTATATGTACAAAAAAATAAAATAAACGGAAACAAAATGACAAATAAATAATAATAATAAAATATACACATCAATTTATTTAAAACAATTAGCACTGAACACAATCTCGGAACGTTACCCTAATTATCTACAAGTTTATGCAGATGAATAAAAAATAAGTAACCGAACGTCTGTAGCTGTGTATGATCCCCAAAAGAACCAGAAATTTTCATTTTCAATACCAGTTGATTTCAGTATTTTCAACGCCGAACTATATGCCATTCTTAATGGCATAATATACAGTGAAAACACATACATCCAATAAATAGTTATTTTGACAGACTCAGCAACTGCATGTAAACACCTAAAATTAATCTATCAAAATAAAGCACTGACGCACATTTTTTAAAAAATCATATTACTAATACACAACGCCAGCAACAATTACTTTTTCCAGTGGATGCCAGGACACGTAGGATTATCAGGAAATGAAAATGGCAGACAAAACGGCAAATCAAAACCAACTACATCGAATAAATGCTAAGGTTCCTTTACTGGATTCGATAGGAATAGTGAGGGGGGAAAATAATGAAAGACTGGCAGCATTTCTACAACTGGGAATGTGCCTCGAAGGGTAAGGACCATCATGCAGTTCAACAGAAGATAATACTGGTTTCATGGTTTGCGACTCTTAAATCTCATATCGACCGCTCCACCTTAGTAAAGCTCACCAGGCTTAGGATAAATCATGGCAGAACTAATAAATATCTACATCTAATAGGTATAGCTAAGAGTGGTCACTGCTTAGCATGCCAATGCTTGGAGGATCCAAGACACATTGCCTTCAAGTGCAAAAGGTTCGAGAAGTGAAGACGAATTAGTTGAGGATGATGGAGACTTGATAAAGTTTTTGAATGACGTAAAAGCAGTCATATAACAAAAGTCGCCTCTTATTCTCACTTAATTGTTATCAAACTACTGTTACCTCAGTTTTAACTATTAGTCTTTCTAGTTTAAGTTCTATATAAGTTACATTCAATATTTAGTCACATTCAGTGATCATCTATCTATAAATAATTAATAAATATCCATTGTAATTTCATCTTACTATGACAAAATATTTTACTGGCAAAACAGGATTTGCTTTTACAAGTCTTAAAGCCAAAAAAAAAGAAAAAAAGATACGCAATAAATAAAATAACTTTAATAATAAGTAAATTAAAAAAGTAAAAACACACCTTATTGGTCACGTTTTTCATAGAATAAGAAGGAATTCCTAAAAAGCTATTCAATGTATTTATACTAAAGTCATAAAAGGGACTTTCAGAAGGTCTAATATGAGCGGTGTACAGCTCCATACAAATCGAGAATTCAATCGAATCGGGAATAAAGAGATATGCTGCTCATCTATAGGTACTATAACAGCAACAGTAACGCGGTTGTATTAGGCCTTCCGAAAGTCCCTTTTATCATTGATTTACTAAATTTAATCAATGCTTTCTCAAAGAAAATATTCTCTATTTTAAGATGGTGTACTTAGAATTTAATTATCTTGAATAGTTTTTGAGCAAATAATTCTTATTCAATAAAATACGTGACCACCTTAAATAAGACACAAAATTGGTCTTAACTCCTTGTCTGTAGGGAATTGACCCATGCATTAAATAAACTGGTTTTTTTTTTTGTTTTTTTTTTTTTTGGAAAAAGGTAAGTGTTTTTTTTTTTTAAATTTATTTATTTTTAAGTTATTTTATTTGTTATACATACTTTTTGATTATTAATTATTTGTTATGTTTTTTATGCATATTGTGTAATGTGATTTTACCCCTCTATAACAATAAAAATGCCCAAGAAAGAGAATGTTGTATTATTCAATAAATAATTTTAATTTAAAATTTTTATTGAAAATGTTATCTAGAATCATCCCGTCAAGTTTTGTCATTAAGATCTGACAAAGATCTGATCCCTGTATATATATAAATTTATTTTATATAGTATTATATAATTAGTTTTACAATTACTGTGTTGATTATGTTAATTATCAATTATAATTTGTATACATAATATAAAATCTCGAGTCTCTTTTTTGTGGATCCGTCGCTCCCACAACCAGAATGGAAAGTCTGCGTCTATGACTCCATTATAAAGAAGAAAAAAAAGATAATAAACAGAGGTTTTGTCGAGATATCCCGTAAGAATTTTAATTTCCGCTAGAGTAATAAATCTACATAAATTTCTGATGGATGTTGGCATAAATTGAGAAAAGCCTGGATTACGGTGGCCTGTCTCTAATTAAACGGTGGCCTGGACCTGAGGAAGAGCAGTAACATTTATATTCTAAAAAGACCCAAGAGAGATACTTTATATTAAAGAGAATTTTAAGTTGTATTAATTATTACTATTAACACGTGACATTTTTCTTTGTTTTATTTTTTATTTTTTTTTGTTTTGTTAGTCCCTTTGAAAGTTATCTCACAAAAATGCTAGGCGTAATAAATATAATGTATTTCTTTTATTTTATAAAAAAATAATACTAATTTCGTATTA